TTAAGAAGAATAAAACAAAATTTATCGGAAACAATAAAAGTCGAAGCCGAACAAATATAGATGGTTATAGAAATATCTTGGATTGGTGATTTATTGATAACGTTTAAAAAAAAACATAACATAGAATCATGAGAATGTTGGTTTAATAATTTTAAACATGGACCATAAGATGAACTGAAATAATAGCAGTTAAAATAAAACGCAAATATAATTGATAAATTTACGGGAGTTAAGGCTCGGTGCTAACAGTTCAAGAAAAAAGTTAATTGCTGGCTGGAAATAACATACAATATACATGAAATGCCGCAATAACAAGTTTAAGTTGAAATGTTGATGTTTTCATTTCTCCGATGAGTCTCTAAAGAGAATGATATCATATCTCGATAGCTCGGTTTGTGGATTTCCATCGAAAATGATTCGATAAATGTTCCTGCATTGTAACCGATGGAGCCAAAGCAATGGTAGGAAATAAAACTAGTTTTGCTGGACTCTTAAAACAAAATAATATATACTATTATATTATACACTGCATTGTTCACCAAGAGGTCCCATGTGGAAAATCATTGTGTCAAACAGATGCTATGAAAGTTGCTGTTAAAATAACGAGCATTATCAGAGGCGGCAATCGAGTACTCAATTATATGAAGTTTCGTGATTTTTTGGCTGAAGTAGATGCTGCATATGTGGACTTATTATTACACACAAAGATTCGTTGGTTAAGCGCCGGAAACTGTTTGCAACGTTTTTTTTGCTCTACACAGGGAAATTGTCCGTTTCCTAAGAAATGGAAAAGTGAAGTCCAGTACTACGGAATTCTAAAATCAAAAGAAAGAAGCAAACTTTTTGTCAGATCTTGCATTTTTAACTGACATGATCTCTCATCTGAACGAATTAAATTTAAAGCTTCAAGGAAAACAACAGAATATCGCCAATTTGTATTGTCATATAAAAGGATTTAAAAGTATAATTAAGCTCTTCAGGTCAACAAGAAAGATTTCAGATTGCAAACTGTAAAGATCATTTTGAAGAAATGAAGGCCGTTGATCAAATTTCATTTTCAACCAATTTGGATTGGATTGAAACACTTGTAGAAGAATTTGACAATCGATTTGGTGACTTGAGGAAAATTGAACAAGATATTTCACTGTTTAGCCAGGAGTTTTTGAAACTCCTATTTTCTAAACGTAGCCTATAACCAAAAACCATATCAAGAAGGAATATCAACATAAACAGCAGTGGACAAAGTGGTCCAGAAAATTAGTCGCTCCATTAATAATGAAGCGACTATGAGTGAATAATACTGGATAATTGCATTAGCCGACTTTTTAGATATAGAAGGCGCATTTAACAATGGTTTCCCAAATCATTTTTATGATGCAGCAATATCAAAAGGGAGATCAAAGCAATGCGGGAAAATACGCTGATTCTAACATACGTGCAATTAGAGATTTTGGCGAAAACGTCCCTTAGACTTTCGCAATGGGGGTGCTTTCTTCTCTCCTGTGGTCACTCCTGGTGGATGACTTGATTTCGTCCCTTGGCTACTTCAGTAAGTAGAAGTTCAGTCGTATGCAGATGATCAGCTAATTATGATAAGAGGAAAATATGGTAATGTTCTTACAGCACACTTTAAAGATCATTAAATATCATTACTAGATGGTGTGACAGGAAAAAACTCTCGGTCGTTCCTAGTAAATCAGTAGTCATTAGTTTCACAAGGTGATAGAACCTACATATCATCTGGATGCTTGCTGTATATGGAGAAATTGTTACAAGAGGTGAATAAGGTAACGCTAGATAAGCGGTATACATGGAACGCCCATTTGGTAAAAATAACCTACAAAGCTAAGCTTTCCCTATCAACATGCCGAGGGATATGTGGGAAAACATGGGATTTAGAATCCAAAGCCCAAGATATGACTGTAGTCAGAACTATGATTACGTATGATGCACTAATATGGTGGTCTTAATACCAACAAAAGTCGACCAAAGAAAATCTTAATAAGCTTCAACGACAAGCATGCGTAACAATAACAAAAACTTTGTCGACTACCCCAACCGCCTCCATGAAGGTTATGCTTGACCTTTCTCCATTACAAATATGGATGGAAAAGGAGGCGAAGGTGAGAGCATACAGAAGGCAAATGAGATGCCAGGAATTAGGGCAAAAGAATAACCAGATAGAATCTAAAGAAATAATTAAAAATTATTTAGAGTGGGTAAAGGGACCTTTTAGAGTTTAAATTTAAGTTTAGAACCTTTAGCCACGTAAATACATACAAATATTAGTATTTATTCATTCAGGATTGTACAGAAAGGACATCTTTCAGGCTCAGGGGTTCATTAGAGCGACTTAATTATAATACACAAGACATAAACCACGGTTAGATAGGTGGGCAACAAATAGGTACACATACAGTGGGAAATGTCCATTAAAACGATAAATTTTTCAGTCACGCCTTTAATTTAATTTTTTGAAGAAATACCATAATCAGTTTATAAATTTTTGTATTATTTTATATTATTTAATAGTACATTTAATTTTAATGGCATCTTCAAACCTACTTTCAGCCATTCTTGAAGCAGTAATTGAGATGTAAGGAATAGTAAAAAATATGTGATTTAGATCAGCTATGCTAGTTCTACACTCACATCTGTCTGTTGGGAGAACTTAGATTTTATGTAGATGCTTCGAAAACCATCCATCATCTACTTTTAATCTTAAGATCGTCGACACTGTATTTCTACTTAGTTCGCAGCTGCTGTTGTTGTAATTTAAGTACGAATTTAATACTGTTCAACACAGTTTAATACTGTTTAACTGTTCAACAATTTTTAATATGAATATATTGCTGTTAATTGTGATTTAAAGGTTTGTAATGCACACTACAACTTTAATTCATGTATATTTGTTTGATTTTTTCTGCTGGTAAACTGGTTTAATTCTATTAACGACTGGTGATACCAATATGGTTAATATTTATTAATGAAGTCATTTTATTCAAATATCACTATTTCTGCTATTTAGATAGTCTTCCTGAAAACAATCTTGTGCATCCATTGCAGTTGAATTTCGACGCCATCCTCTAATATATCAATTGAAGGTGTTATGGACAAAAAAAATGTATATTATGCAGGAGAATCCTAGATTTGAATATGTTTTAAAAGAAATTAATCTCTTATTGTTGAGATATCTTCATAGCAATTGACAGAGTAGGTTATTAAAAATAGTCCACCTCGATATTTAGATTTAGATAGATTAGATTTTAGGAAAATGTTAACACAAGAAAATTTTTGTTCCAAACGGAACATTTTACTCACACATGCAAACCCATCTATTATAGTACGACAGTCTCTTAATTTTAAATTAATAAGATAACATGCGTCTCACGTTACTAGAAAGGTACGCCAAAAAAGACTAAAGATACGTAATTATACCCTAATACAACCTTCTATGACATGCTGCACTTGTTAAGAGGGTAGTTCTTATCTTCGTCCGCTACCACATCGCTTTGATAATGTTTTCCGTACGTGCTGACGCAACGGTATTAAGAAACAAATTCAGATTACGGCCTGTGAATTCTGAATACAGTGTACTACTTACATTATAAAATAAATTCTGAAACATATTTACTTAAATTTTACTAGAAACCTAGCATAAGAGTCTGGATAAAATCTTTGCTATTGAATAAACTTTAATACATAGAGATTTATCCGCCATCACATCATGAATCTAAAATACTATGAGTATAATATTGTTTAAATGATTTTTCAGAATTATCCATTTAAGAGAAATCCTATCATTTTTATTCTAAAAAATTGTACTCATTATTTTTTATAAAATAAATTATAAATAACATGATGTCAATAAAACATCTTATATTTATTTGGATTCGTTTTAAGTTTTAAGATCAAAAAAATCAAGTCATACAAATTTTTTCTGTTTTCGTTTGAAGATTTTGAAGCTGTCAGTTCCAATTTAGCGCATCGCTGCAAATTTTCCTTAGGATTTAACGAGGTGATGAGTTCAAAAGACTGAGATAAAAACGACAGTATACTGAAAAGATACGACCGTCGTATTAGAGGTGGAATATATTTAGGAACTGTTCCAAAAAAGTACCGCATTCGAATTATTTATTCGAATTCATCTAATATAATATTGTATACTTCTATAAAGAAACTTGAATACGTGAACTGTTTTTGATTAGAAAATCTTAGAATCAATGTGTTAAGTTATCAGAACACAAGAAACAGTTTATGAATATCTTAGATTGTAACCTTTGAAACCTTTCTTGGATGGTGCTAAAAAGGTCACCACTGGAGACACTGCGGACGGCAGCCAGATGGTTGGTGGAGAGCGAGTCGTGGGTTCGAAACTAACTTTTGGACCGGGAATGGGTCCAACGGACGAAAGTAAAGATAGGACAGGATAAGATATCGATGGTGAAGGATCAATATGTCCTATCTAAAAAAACGCTACTTTTCAGGAGAGCGAAAAAATTATTTTATACATATAGTTTTAATGGACGAGGTACGAAAAAAAACACGTCAATTTTATTTTTTTAATATGGTTTTTTTGTAAAAAGGACAGTTTAAAAAAATATTTCTTGTAATACTTTTAAAAGATAGGATAAATTGAAATAAAAGTTTGTGATACATAGGACATATTACAATTCATAATTGTACCATCTAATATTATAAAAAATAGTTCCAGAGTGAAACTATTTGGCGCATAGGATATTTGGCGCATATTCTTGTATCTAATTGTTCTTATATTAAGAACAGAATCTATCTACCTATTAAAAAAACTCAACATTTTGCAGTAAATAACGAAAAACTAAAACATAACATTGTATTTTTTAAACTAAATAGGTACAAGTCAAAAATAAAATAGAAATTTCACGTAGGCAGAATTGTAAATTTCAGTATTATGACACTTCACGGCCAATACGGAATCCATCTTTGTTACGAAAGTTTTACTCTGAATATGACAAATTGTCTTAAAAACTGTGACTATCTTCTGGAATTACCGATTTTAATTCCTGCAGGTGTTGCCATTTCGATTTAGGAATTTTACACCTTTGCGTGTACAACGGAGGATAATTTTCAATTGGAGGATACTTTTTAGACCTGATTGGTAATTCAGTGAATTCTGAGCTAGAATGATCCAGTTTTACCTTGATAACGCCCTGTGGATCATAATTGATAACCCTGATATCCATAACTACCGGATCTTTTGCTACTCTACCTGGTCGTATCGATGAATATCTCAGAGGGTTTGTATAATTTTTAAAGAAACTGAACTTACAGTTTATTGCTTCATACGGAGATGGGTTTTTTCTGGCTTCTCTAGTAATACCAATATAATCGCTTGGAAGCTTAATTTCCCGGTTTTTTAATTTTCGTTCAATACAGGCATGCACTGAATCGACTTCCATCTGGGTATGCCCAACTTCCAAAAACTTTTGAATAATTTGTACATTATGCATTATGCTAAAGTTTAGCAAAGCGTTGGACATAACACAATTTCTATTTTGCGCCGTACATCCGTCCGAATATATGATTATCGGTTTTCTATCATCAGTGAGACAATATTTGGTAAGGTAGTCTATAAGGCAAGACGTGAATGTATAGGATACCAGTTGATTGTTCTGGTCCTCAGAAAACCAGTAACAAGTAGCGTGTTTTGTAGCTACGTTATATACTGTGATGTTATGGCAGCACAATTTTGTTTTATAATAAAAGGCATTTGCCTGGGTGAATGGTGCAAGTTTTACAGCCTGATCGAGTTCCAGGGTGATTTGACTGCCAATTGCTGCTTCGTTTTTATCTTTGTCTTTTGCAGCTCTAGCTGTATCCTTTTTGTTAATATGATCCTGCCAAATATTCTCCATAATATTTCCACTTCTGTAGCTTGCACACGTATTACATTGATCCTTTTTCGTGGGCAAAATTGAAATATTTTTCTTGACAATCATTGCACTAAAGGTCGTCCTGCTTACACATCCAACTGTTTCTTGTTCACACTTACTAAGGTAGAATTTATAGACATCCATTATCCTGTGGAAGGTAGGTTAAAAATACAATTTGGAGGAGCATTTTCTAGAATAGTGTGAAGGCATTTTTGGGAGGGCATTTAAAAAATTGTCTAGAAAGTCTATGTTGTCTAGTAGTTTCTGATTAGTTTTGTACTGTTTACCACCTGGAGCATGAGGCATTTCAAAAGAACTTTGTTTAAACCAATATTGTACCATCCGATACTTAATTCCAAGCGTGTCTAAAAACATTTGTCGGCAAACCTGTAACTGTTCTTGTCCATTATTTAAATAGTACTGTAAAGTTTTGGTACGTCTGGAGTCATCTCGATGAACAGTATTTTTTATTTTAATAATATGCTTTACATGTGCTGCAACAAAAGCATGTCTTTGTTCCCAAGTTATTTTCCAAAAATGCTCGAAAATTCTTTTTCTAACGTCTTCTGAAAACTCGGAACAATACCTAAATTTTGATTTTCTACACACTTCTTTGTCACAAGTGGGTTGCATGTGACGAGCATCTTTTTGTTTCAACTGTTCATACTTTCCTGTTTGCCCTTTCATGAATCCCAAATAAGGTTTCCCTTCCATTCGGAGTTTCTTATTTTTGTTTCTTTTCCATTGGCTAGGATCAGCAACATTTCTTCTTTTACGCCCTTCATTAATATTGTGATTATTGATATATGAACTTCTGTTTACAAATATTTGATTATCCCTTTGATTTGTATTTGAAGTTGACGGTCCTTCAATACTTAACTGCTGATCAGCTATGGGATCTTGAACGTCATTTGACAAATCAGTATTTGTACTTGATGGTTTTACTGCACTTAAATGTTGATCAGTTGCGAGACCTGCTTTTTGATTGTCAGTAGTAGTTTCATCAAGTTGGTCAAGAGCTGGATTATTTTCTGCACCGTCTGTAGCTTTGTTTGACGAATCTGTTTTTGAAGTTAATGGTTCTATAATAACTGAATACTGATCTAAATCTTTTCCGACTTTAGGACTGTTAGTAACGTCTTGAAGGATAATATTGTGTCCTATTATAATCGGATCAACTGTAATAGGTACATCCCGACTTGTTACAGATTCCCCCAAAATAGTTATTAAAGTGATCGTTTCAGTAACGTTGATTTCATCAGTTGCCTAAAAAATTAATTAAGATATAATCAAGAATTGCTTTGAAGAGTATTAGTACCTTAGTCACAGTTTTGGCTAATTGATCGCTTGATGCTATCTGTAACTCTCTTGCCATTTCAATAATTTTTTTTCCTCTCCCTGATGGATGCATTCTTTTAGTAATCACCCTGTAAATAATTACTTATTATAAATCAAAAACCCTTACGTACTATTGTACAACAAATAGAGTGGTAATTATTTATTAATTTACAGTAGAGTATTTTTTAACTGTAATATACATACAGCCAGATTTGTCACAGATTAATTTTACCTAGGTTTGTTTTATAAGATTACAATACATAATTAAATTTTATATGGACAAAAAGCATAAAGTCCTATCTGGCAATGTTCTTATGAGTGAATTATTAGCAGTTATAGTTTCTGATAAAACGAAATGTCCTATCTATCTCTAACCTAACCTAATCTATCTCTTAATATAGCTAATATTTAGAATTTTAACGGTAAATCAATACTACAAGTATACTATTTGCTTTATACTATTTTTATTAACAACTTACCAATATCGTGAACAAAAATAAACGTAAAAATAAACGTTTTTCTACAGAAAACTTCGACAAATCACCAGCATGTACTTTAGTTTATGGAGAGAAGACACTAAATGCTTAGATATTATTATTTACTTGCAGATCTGTTGACGCTAGAGATAGTACAACTTGAAATTAGATGGTACGATGCGATGTTGCCTATTTCTCGAAAGAATATAAACTTTGTAAGACATCATTATCCTTTTTAATAACTTTGCGCCAAAAATCTCAATTTTGAAAAAAAGGAAGATAGGACATATTGATCCTTCACCGTCGATATATTAGAAAAGATACAGGAATAAATAAAAAGATAGATGGTAAAATTACCAAAGATAAGATAGAAAAAGGGTGCCACTTAACTTTTGGGGTTTAAGGGGAAAGTTAAGAAACCTTAGAAACGAAAAAAAAAATAACAAAAGTTATTCAGATTCTGATACTAAATCCAAAGACGTTGCAACTGGCTGAATGACTAATGTCAATGCCATTAAAAAAAAAATCCAAAGAAAGATATCAACAGTTAATTATTAAATAAATTTGGTCAACACTCTACATAAACAAATAATAAATATATTAGGTGGACTCCGTCTACCTACTTACCTACAATATTTAATCAGCCTGATCTTTCTCCTGGTCGAAGGTACAATAATAATTTAATATAATAAACAAATGTTTAGAGGTATTATTATATCAGGCAACTTAGTAGGAGTCAAGAAATAAAATTCATTGATAAAACACAACAATATATTCAACAACACGATTAAATTTGGATAAATCAAATGATTTTAAATCTGAATGTACATACTGCTTCTACATACATAATTATGATCTTTAAAAGGCTATGGAAAATTATGTAATACTTAATGGATTTTAACAATATGTGAAACAATCACCAAAGCTGTTAAAAGCAGAGGTGCAGCTTAGTCGTTTTCGAAAGGGAATATAATTATAAATTTAAATAGGCAACCAAAATTACTTTTAAATTTAACAAGTGACTGAAAAGAAAAGGAAACGGTAACAAATATGGGAAGTCTTCCTTAATTCTGCGGTGCACGGTTTGGGTCGGTCGGGCCCATTCAGTTTTTCTAATATCTCCATTCGGTCAGCGAGTCTAAGTACAGTTCTGGCGGTCTAGGTACCTTTCGACAGCATGGTCAGCTATAATCCCTCAGTGACTAATGCGTATTGAAGCGATAGTGTCGATGTTATATCTGTTTTCGTTCTCTCAGACCCAACCCGTTCCTTAATGTATTTTTTTTATGAAGGTACAAAACAAAATTTGCAGTGCATTGCTTTTAGACCTTAGCAAAACAATGTATTCTTAGGCATCCTAAGGAAAAACAAAATGCATATCCCAACCGAATTTTTATTGAACAATTGACCGCCAATATCAACTATATTTGGATTTACCAAAGATATGACGATATTGTCATATAAACCTAAACCAAAAAAACATGTTGTTCTTTTGTCAACCCTACACCATGATGACCAAATCGATCCGACAACGGGTGACGAAAGTAAACCTGAAGTAATAATGTTCTATAACTCTACGAAAGGTGGTGTGGACCCGGTTGATTAACTTAGAGGTGCTTATACTGTCGCAAGAAATTCAAAAAAACGTTGGCCCATGGACATCTTTTGTGGATTGCTTGATGTTGCTGCAATAAATGCATTTGTCATACAGAGAATTAACAAACTGGATCTAAAACCAAGGAAAAGAAGAAGATTTTTTAAAAGAACTAGGTCTTCAGTTAGTGATGGACAATATAAAAGAAAGATCTCAATCTCCTTATTTGGCACGAGATATAAGAGAGCTTACTGCTAAACTCAGTAGTGTTACACCAGTACAAGCACCTGCGGAATTGTAAAATAAAAGGGGGCGTTGTGCTTTTTTTAGAGATCGTAAAACTCATGTGTCACTATGATAAAAAATTTATTTGCTTGAAACATACTGTACCTGTTTGTCGTATATGCATTGATAAAATTATTGAATGAGTTATATACAAGGTGTTTTTTAAACATCGGCCATATCCTAGTATTAGTTAATTTCTTTTATATTTTTAGTTTTAGTATTATAATAGAAGTTTATTTTCTTTTAATGTATGTAAGTTGTTTTTAGTAGTAGTTCTAATATATCCAACGCAAACCTGTTGTTACAAAATTAAACATTAAAAATTCTTAGTTTAATTTTTGGGCTTCTCAGATCCAACCCGTTCTTATGTGTATCAAAGTATCACCCGTGTACCGAAGGGTTAAGAAGGTGGTATAAAGTGTATGCCAAGACAGATATGGTACGGTAATTAATCTTTTTAAATTATTGTGTACTCCTGCGCATCCCACGACATAACTGCTTATTATAATATGTCCGGTAACAACATCGGTCCGGCAAAATAACCGTATAGATACACTGGAATTGGATTTTTTCATGGTCCATCTTACTGGACCGTAGGTGGCGATTTTTTTCTTGTTGGTCCTATCCGTTTCGGATGTTAGCGACCAAAATGGCAATCTATACTTTTCACACTGCTGCTCTGAAAAGATTTGTGGATGTTGTGTTAATACACGTATGTATGTAGATTCTTCAGCGAAGAAATCCTTTGCACTCCTGGGAAGTAGGAGGCGATAAGAAATATTAATATTTCATCAAAGCGTAGTTTTGTGTTTTTGTAATACACCATTGGTTAATCTGACCAACGTGACGTGACAATGGAACTCGTCTTCGCATCCTCATTGGCTGGTATATAACTGTAACTAACTAAATGGTATATAAGTAATTAGGAACATTAAATACACACTTTGTATGAAAATATTTTGAAAAAATAGATAATAAAATTATATCGAGAGCTTTGTATCCTTAATTTTTCGGATTGAGTTTATCACTCCTCGCTAATACCTTATCTAAACCAGTGATTCACCAAACTTGCTTTTAATTTACAAAAAAGTAAAAGTTTGACGCGGAATAATTATTGCTTGTTTGATAATAAGTATATTTTGATAATATCATTTAATTCAAAAATCAAAATATTTATTTTGACTTTTATATATTATATAATGACAATTATATCTATAACAATAAGGAGTTATATTAAATATTTTAATCAAGTTGTAATGCATGACCGTCTCGCCGAACTCAAAAAAGTCCCATCCCTCGACTACTTTTAGAAGCACTTAAGTTTCTCCTAAATTAAAGGGACAAAAATTCCACCTACGAGATAGGCCTAATAACTCTTTCTTGAGTTAAATTGTTCCAAGGGATCTTCTTCACGTTTTATGAGTCTGACAGTAGGTGTATAAAAAATATAT